CTTTAATCAAAAATGATGCAAGATCACCGACAGCCTACGCACTACCGAAGATTCACAAGGAAGGAAATCCACTAAGACTAATGGTCAACAGCAAGTATGAAGCAATAAAAAAACCAGCAAAATTTATTTGTTTGAAGCTCAGGAAAGTAAATGACAGACTTTCGAATACCGTTAAGAATTCATATGAATTTTCTCAAACGATCCAGAACATTGGGTTATTGGGGTCAGACCTGTTGGTGAGTTTCGATGTACAACCCATGTACAGAAACATCTAAGGTGAGAAGGCTGTAAGCACCTTGTTGGAGATATTTGAGCTAGAAGAGGACATCCTGGAGACAAAACGGATACGAAAAGAATAGTTAACATGACTGATCAACCTGACAGTAAGGAGCATATATTTTACATTTAATGGAGATATCTATGAGCAAATATTTGGACTACCGATGTCATCTCCGCTCTCACCTCTTTTGGCAAATGTGTACATGGAAAAGTTGTAAAGAGAATTCGAGAAGTGTCGAGAAGACATAGAAAGTCATAAACTTTATATTAGGGATAGAAACAAGGTAGACTCGGCGGAAACTGGAGCTAGTTGGCTGACAGTAGGTCTATTTTACCATAGACATAGTCCATGTTACAAAGGCTTGACCATGAGATTTACTCAGAGGCTTTAGCCTCGAATTATTCACCCAGACACAGGGGAGGGGTAATAACGCCTGGAGTAGAACAGATTGAGTGGCAGGGGTCGAGTGAAGCAAATAATTATATGTCTGTATACTTTCGGTTTTAGGTTATGAATATATGTAGGATGTAAAATAGAGCCGGACAGTACTCTTGCGCTAGTGCTAACTTAAGACTTTTATAAGAATGAATTCCAGCCCTGATGATGCCGTCAGGTGATAGACAAAAGCTAAGCAGGATTTTATCAGAAGGAAGAGAGAATGTCTCGTGGATTGTGTGAACATGAACGTCGGATTAAAGCCAAAAGGCTGCAAAACTACTAGAATCGGTCGTAGTCCATCAGCGAGATCAACCAACGAATCTCTTCGCCGTCTACTTTCATAAAAAATGAAAGTCTTATTAACAATGTTATTTTAAAAGATTCATTGAGGCCCAGCTACTCTCCCTATCCATATTGTATCACAGAATTGTGTGACGTATCCACTATCAGTGCAGATATCATTTAAAGCAGCCTAAGATGATTAAGTTCTTATATAAATATTATATGTAATAAGATTAGTTTTTGATATAAAAAGCTCTTAATAAATATGGCATCCAAAGGGGTGCAAATTATTTTGAGATGAAAACAAAGGGTCAGAACTATCAACAAAAAACTGTAAAAAAAATTTGATATTTTACTTTCATTTGATAATTGATAGTAGGTAGATGCTGTCCTACACTTATGTAGAGGACGTGATTGATCATTATAACAAAGTGGGTCACATTCTCCCAATAAAATTGATTCCTGACCAGCATCGGGTCTATGTACAAACTGGTGTAACTTTTGCCTCCGCTTAAGCGTCAACCGGGCAGTATCTGTATAAGTAGATTGTTGAGGAGCTTTTTCATTGGCTGCAGAAAGAATGAGCTGAGTGCCAGATTCTGTACTGCTGGGATCCGGTAGTCTGACTGATAAGGATGGTACGGCGGAATTAAATAAAGAATCTTCAGGTTCAATATGAATCAACTCTTGCTCATCCTTCATATTTTTTACAGTCTTCTGAATATGTAATTTCTTTGTATCTTTTGTTGATCTCTCTTCTAGTTCGCCATCCCCACTCTCATGTTCCTCCTCCTTTTCAGCCTCCCAGTGTACGCTAAATTGAACAGTAGCTTTTACGTCATTATCTCCAGGCGCCAACGAGATAGAGGATTGGGTTGTTGCTGTTTCTTGACGCAAAAATGGAGGTGGTGCCCTGGCTGGATGAAGCCGAGGCATCATAGCAACGCCCGCCCCGGTGATTCCAGAACCGATAACGTTACCAACAGCCAAATTGGTGAGGGAAAGGCGGCGGTGTACCTTGGCGTTCGCATGTGCGGTAGTTACTGATGTAAATATTTCTTGAGAGACTAAAAACGGATGGAAGTTAAACTAATTACCTATATATTATTCCTCAAATAATTAAAGAGAAATATTAGATCTGTCAAAGTTATATATGTTCAAAAGCTAATACGGCGAGGTCAAAATAAGGTGGTCCAATGATCGCTTCATCAAAGGCAGCTTTTGGCTTAACTCAGACAATCAGCGAAAGCGAATACTAAAAAGTAGGTTTACATAATTACACAGAATATTTACTAAGAGTATCAAATCAAATATACTTGACTTCAGCTTCTTGAAACCAAAATTGTGAACAATTGAGATTGATAATAATTTCGCTCACCGATTTTGCTAAAACATTCTGAGCGAGAATAATTCAAAGACACACATAAATCTCGTCCCATTATACATGCTTGTACAGCAGACTTAAGTAAAGGCTTCCGCTTATGATAAAATATAAATTAGCCTTTATTCTCACCCCACCAAAGCTATCCACAAAAGTAGTAAACGGAAAAATAAACTAAATGATTTGAATATATATGTGTATATATTTTTTAATTTATTACCAATTAGGCCTTTTAAGTGTAATGCGATTTAAAACATGAATTTAGGCTTGGATATGCATAATTGTTTTAAAAAAATGCTATAAAAGCAAATGATAAAATATAGTCGATTATGGCAAATAAGGGT